AGCCCATATAGATATATATACATATATATATATATATATATATATATATATATATATATATATATATATATATATATATATATATATATATATATGTATATATAGAGAGGTATATATGCGCACACATCTGCACAATACGAAAGCATAAGAAATGATTTCATTCAGGTCTTATGTTGTGTGATACAAAGAGTGTTTTTGATTTATTCGTCTGCCACGACGGCGGATTTAAACAGTCCAACAGAATCTACAGTAAATGAATGTTGTGATCTGGAGGCTTCAGATGATAAAGTATTAAGGATCCGGTATTTGTCATTTATCACTTGACGTGAGTTTGTCACCATGACAGCGCTGAATAATCTGAGAGGTGACAAACACAAACACTTTTGGTCTTTTTTTCTTTCTGTATTTTGCCTCAAATGTTTTATAAAGAACAGGAAGTTCAATGTTGGATGATTTTAGTATCTAATGGACGGCTTCAGTGAGCAATTCACTTTCTCCCAAATACCACGACTCAAATCTGCTTTGAAATTCCTGAAAAAAAACTTCAGAAGTCGCCTGAGAATTTTCACTCTTAACTTTTCTGAAGTGTCACAGAAATCCACTGGCAGCCGTCAGGGGGATTTCAAACAGGAAATGCCAACACGTGATACTTTTTATATTTGAGTCTCAATATGTGTGAATTTGTTTGGATTTGGAAAGTTTTAATGTTCCTTTTCTGTCAAGCGAGCATAAGACCTTTTCTATCTAATAGCTTTATCAATTGATGCCTGACTATTTCCAAAAGGTCAACCAGCACACGGAGGCCATGAAGAAGAACACAATGGAGGAGAAGCGTGAACCAGGACCTGGTCTATACGTCTTTGAGTTGCCGGCCCAATTAGACGTGTGCTCGTGGTGGTTCATGTGGAACGGAGATCCGGAGTCTAGCGAGAGGACAGTGAAATGGGAGCGAGCCCCGGGGGGGGGGCAGTTTGACAGCGTAAATGAAGCCCTCAGCCGGCGGTTTTACACTCAAACTTCATTTCCAGCGGAGACATTTTCCACTCGAAGGACACTGACCTCTCGGCCATTTTCCCCCGAAAACAAATCCATTCATTTACGGAGGTGGCTCTGATCAAAGCAGCTCACACTGAGTCGTGCATAGAAGTAAGAGGCTGGGTGTGTGTGTGTGTGTGTGTGTCAGGTTGATGGATCGGCTAATATGTGGCGTTGTGCCTACATGGTGATTGTGGCATACGGGCTGATGAATGAGGTCATCCGCAGCGGGTGCACGCTGCTGTCTGACGGCGCTTTGGGAGTCGCCAACTTTCAAAGGGGAGGAAACTACATCGAGATACAAAGCAGGACTCCAGACAAAGATGTATGAAATATCCCAGGATCACACTACATGCACTTCTGTGGCGACGGCGGCCCTGAAGCTAACCAGCGCTAACACGGCATTCTGAATGTCTCCCAGCAGCTATGAGGACTTAGTTGTGTAGGAAAGCGTTTGCCACCCGCTGCAGAATGTAACCGACTGAGCTGACTGTGTCCTGCAGGCTTCGGCCTGGAGACACAGAGAACTTCTCCTTCGCTCCGGCTCACCAGCGTCCAAGCCAACAGACGCTGTGGCACAAACCGAGCGTACGACCCCTCAGCGAGGGTTTGACATGAGACGACGATCCACCGGTTGGAGACAAACACACCTTAACCACAGCGGCGTCCCATCGGCACACCACCAGACCCAGAGCGTCACCGCCTGGCGTCTGGAGAAGGATGCTGGGGAGACGTTCAGCCTCCGACAGCCGATTCCCAACCGTGTAATCGTCATGTATGTAAAACTACTTCTACATCAAGATGCATACTTTGCCTTCTCGGAGAGTTTTCAAAGGTACTCGTTTGTGCGACTGGTGAGACGCCTCCGAAGTACAAATGCTGCGATGAAGAGGATCTTCATTAGCTGATGTTCCACTGCTCATTTGGAGGAACTCTGCGTGCTGCAGAGAGCAGTTCAGTCAGTGCGAAGCATCTCCACGCTCCAATCAGCAGCAACTTCCTACATGAAAGCGGAACTTCTTCAAACACTTGGGCTGGATTCCAACACGAGAATCAAAAGCGTTGAAGCTTTTGATGGTAAAGTAATGAGATGAAACTGTGTGCTGCTCAGCTTCTTGGTCTCCATTGTTCACCGAGAGGAGTCAGGCGACGTCGTTCTCCCAACGTGGGTCGCCTGAGGTGGTCGGGCAGCGCTGCATCTCGTTCCAGGCATCCATCTCAGCGCACACTCTACTCCTCTATTTAATCACACCGGACCTTTGCTTCTAGAAATGTTCTCTAACTGGACCTCTTCACATTTTAGTTGAAGACTGCTGCTCGAAGCTAACCTCTCGTTCAGAACGCTCGTTTCCCAATGACGCGCAATGTTTAATGAGAGGGTAAATCAGGAGAGTCGCGTTCCCATAGACGTCTACGGGGCCAGAGGAGTCGCCCTCTGGTGGCCACTACCCATAGTGCAGGGAGGAACAGGAGTCGATGTTGAAGTCGTGTTGGTTTTTAGATCTGAGTCTCCGTTTCATATTCACTCATTTTCTGTGGAAAGAACTCCAACAACACAAAAGGTCTTTAATGTACCTTCAGCGTCACATTTCTTCTGCATGAAGAGAAAGTATTTTAGTAAGCGTCTGCGTGTCCCCACACGCTGCAGCCTCTTGCGAGACGTCTGATTTCACATGGAATGAGAACCAAGCAGTAGCTGCAGGTAGTTCTTTGGTTCTTCACATCCCACAGAGTGCTCCACATAACAAACAGCTCGGAGACTTCCCCCCCCCCCAGCTATCTGCTGCCAATACGCCGCTCGGATGGTATTAAGAGGCCCAGTTATCCAGTCAGCACTCTCAGCCTCCGAAGGAATGAAAAACAAACGTCTCACAGCATTTTCTCCCTCACAATCCTGCTGATTCAGAGATAATGGGGCGGCTTTCTGGAAAGGGTCCGTGTCCGAGAAGCGGCAGGATAATGAAGCCCGATGGGGATCCCCCACCGGGGCGCGGCCCCTTCCGCTGAACTTCCGCTTCGCATTCGCACAAAGGCGTCACAGCGTTTGTAAATGCTCCGCTCTCCATGTCCAGCTCTGATCGGACACGTCCAGCGTCACGGATTTAATGAACGATGGAGGATTTATTTGGCCAACAAATCTCATTCATGTTTAATGGAAGTTGTGGCCGAGCCTCCGAGTACCTGCTGACATGGAGCGACGCGTCCTTCCAACAGAACATCCGTGCCGATGAAATGTTCTCAAGCTTCAGCCTCCACATAAAACCCCCGAGCGATCAAAGCGCCGACCCGTCAACATTTACAGCAGGGAGAAACAGAACGGTGGTATGTGCCGCCTGTACGTTTTATACTACAGTATAAAAAGTTACCCTTGAAACTAGAACACATCTCTGATAGCTTATATTCTTTTATCTGTATTTTTATAGCATGTATCAAGATATTCTATCAAAATAAAAGACGATTTTGAAAATACGGATTCTCTTTTCTTCCTCTCGCCTCGTTGTCTCGTGCAAATGTTTCGATCAACGATTGTTTTCAGCAAAAACTAATTTTCTTGGGACCTGATTCTTGAAAACGAGATGAGAAGAAAAGCAATGTTACTATTTGAGATTAATACGCAATGGAACTATTGTCTGAACTACGCAGTTCCATGTTCTTTCCTGTAGAATCTAAATGTGTAAAGAAATAAATGTAGTGTCGATGTGAAAACTTGTACAAAAATACGGTAAAAGTACCTCAAAATTACACCTGAGAACCACATTGTTTTACCAAAAGTCGTGAGAGGAGCGTGAGAAAAGTTTAGAATCAGTCAGCTAATCAGTCTACTTCCACCCGGCTAATCACTGTGTGTGTGTGTCTGTGTGTGTGTGTGTGTGTGTACAGGCTACTATCTCCAACACCCCGCAGGAAACCAACGCCGTCTAATTATATTAGCAGAGTAACAGTGTGTGTGTGTGTGTGTGTGTGTGTGTGTGTGTGTGTGTGCCTTGCTGACTAATAGAGGGAACCTCACACAATCAATACATGGCGGATTACTCACAAATCTGCAGATAAACCAGAAAGTACATTTCACACACGGAGGGAAAGAGCTTTTTATCAGATATTCACCAGCTGAGAAGGTGCAGTGTGCAGTGCGTAGTGTGCAGTGTGTACTGCGTTGTGTGCAGTGCGTTGTGTGCGTGTTCACAGGTCCATGGCATCAGACAAAAAAGGATTTAGCAATTAACACAACTGCTGCACTAGGAAGACTCTCTTCATAAATCACTTCTCGTAGATTTATCGTCAAATTCAGAATATCACCCGTTCCTCCACAAAACATTCCACACGCAGTAGTTGCAGAAGGCTTTTCTCATCCAGCAGTCACAGCGATACCTCAGATTCACAGATATGACTCAATCACGTTGTACGTAATCATGATCGAGGACGTACAGAGACGGAGACAAAGACTTGTTTCTCTTTCTACGAACAAGGTGATAAGGTAAGCATTCTAAGCTAAGTTCTCCACTCCTTCCAGTTGCCTTTACACCTCCTAGACCTTCTCCAGAACGTCTTCTCAAGCAGAATCCGTTGAAGGATTAAAGAGCGCGAGTGCTGCTCAGGGGAAGGACGTCGTGCACGTATCAAAAATATAGAATCATGGTTAAAAAACACCCATTGATCCACGATCAAGGGCTCGACTTCGCCAACGGACCCGTTGGCGACCAGTTGGTGTTTTCTGGGCACGTCCACTGATCCAAATGTCAGCGAGATTACTCAGGGAGGAATCAGCACCACTGCGTTCTCTGATCAATTCATTTCAAGCTTCTTTGACTCGGCCGTTTGTATTTGATCTCCTTTATGTTTCAACTGTGGAAATTCTCTGCCTCCAATTACAACGATAGCAACAAAATGCTGCGTAGATATGAATCTGTTAAAAAGGTCACATGAGAACCCCCCCCCCCATTGATCCACTGGGCCGAGGCTCTTACCTGCTTCCCTGGAGAGCTGCATGAAGGCGTCCACCCCCTTCTCTCCGTAGCTGCCCTCCGAGGCCACGGTGGAGACGTAGTTCCAGCCCATGGCCTTCACGATGTCCACCATGGCCTGGGCCTGGAAGCTGTCCGGCGGGACCACGCGGGAGAAGAAGTCGTACCGCCGGTCGTCGCTGAGCTCCGGGGCCGTGGAGGCGTAGCTGATCTGAGGGATCTGGAGGGAGACAGAGAGGGGGGGGGGGGGGCTCCTGAATAAAGGGGGCTTCTCTGTGTGAGAGTTTATAAACGGCGAGAAAATAAAAACAGTGTGTATGGAAAAAAAGGACGAAAGGATGACCTCTCCTCGCAGAAACAAAAAGCGGGTGGGCTCCCTGGTCCCCAAAAGCAAAGGTGAAAGACCATAAAGGACGTCGCACCAGTGTCACATGACTTAACGTCTACATGAGGACACACAGAGGTTTGTACTGACCTGCTGTAATAAAATGACATGATCTCTCTCCATCCATCCATCCATCCACCCACCCATTTATCCATCATCCATCCATCCATCATCTATCCATCCATCCATCATCTATCCATCCATCCACCCATCCACCCATCCATCATCTATCCATCCATCCACCCATCCATCCATACATCTATCCATCATCCATCCACCCACCCACCCATCCATCCATCCATCCATCCATCCATCCACCCATCCGTCCATCCATCCATCCATCCATCCATCCATGTATGTTTCTGCTACTTGAGCATCGCTGTGATTGACAGCGCAGATAAAAAGTATGAGGACTAATGAGTCAATGAATACATTGCTGCATTATCTAGTTAAACCTGAAGGTGTAGAAATAAAAAGGAAAGTAATTTAGAAAAGAAAAAAATCTTTTAAATTTAAGTTGGCTGATGGACAGACCTGCTTTTAAAACCTGGAGCTGCAGCTTAAACGATTAAACTGAAAATGGACTTTTGGTTCAGGTAAAAGGTAACTTCTTTTTCCAGGGCTGGTGCTAATCTGTTAGAAGCTGATAATAAACGTGGACGATGAGAGCGGATTTCCTCCCGTTCGCTGGGTTAAGAGCTCGACTCAGAAGTCTTCCTAATTACACAAAATGTGGGTGAGGTCACGGATTATTTGATCTCTGTCCATCAAGGTCGTCTCTAATGGACAGCAAGAATTAAATTCCATCCCTCTGGATATTCTCTGAGAAACTCTTAAATTTGCAAACCCCCCCCCAACTAGATAGTTCCTCCAATTAGCCTTTGATCTGCTGGGAGCCGAGATGAACTCACTCACATTACGTCTGGCTGAAACAGTCTGATTTAGGCAGAAGACCATTACTCCGTCTGTGGAGGTGAAACAATCCTCAGCTGCACAACCAATAAATAGTAACTGTGTAACTTCAGGGGAACGTTTCATCTTTTATTTAATCAGATGCTTATTTCTTGTCATTTGTTGGTCTAACTGAAGCGTATTTACTGTAAACGCTGGTGATCAAGCTATTTGATCGCGGCTTTCTCTCTCTGATGCTTCGAATGTTTCTAGCGATGCCGTGATGGCTGCCGGGGAGAAGAGAGGTTCTTGGCTCTGCAGTCACCTGTCAGTGATGAAGACGTGGAGCCCGGAGGCCTTTCGGTGTCTGCGTCCTTGAAAACATACAGCTGGAGTGTGATGCATCTTTTATGGCTTCTGACTCCAGATGTCACAGAGGCCTCATCATCATCGCCAGTGATAGATGGTGCCTCATAACCACACACACACACACACACACACACACACACACACACACACACACACACACACACACACTGGTACACAAACAACTCGCATGAATAGGCAGATGTGACTCACACACACACAGACTTGTGAAGAAGTGCTTTCTAGAGTTGGAACAAAACATCAACTGCCTGTGAATGTGCTTCATGCACCGATAGATTACCGGGTCTCCTCGGCCCAAAGTTCCCGCCTTAAAGCGACGGCAGCGACCAAAAGATAAATATAGAAAGAGAAAATGACAACGAAAGCTCACAGAACTAAATAGACCCCAAATGACCCAAAAGGGACCAAACATCGACGAGGAGAAGTCAAAGTCATCGGAGAGCAAAGGGAGGAGGAGATGGGCGTTTCAAAGTAGCTCGCTGCTGAGCACCGTGTCGTCTAAGCTTCTTTAATATCTTCATATCGAACATTACAACCCAGAGTTATTATTGAGTTATTTTCAAGGGGGGATAAATTATAGATATTTTTAACTACGGTTCCTGTCACAGAAAAAGCCCTTTAATTGAGAAAAAATGTATTTGCATGTTACAAATTCAACAGCATGAATTTCTTTAGATAGCATCTGACTTTAACAACAGAGACCGTCCACATCCTTTATTAAACCTTCCAACAGACGAACGCTCCTCTTCATCCCCACTGGCCGTCGCTCACTACCTCTCACAGGGGAGGAGTGCCGCATTAGTATGACCTCATCTGGACCTGCTGCTGTGATAAACGAGAAACATCTTCTTTGGACTTTGGAAGGTACAAAGTGGACCGGCTCGTCCACTCAGGATAAAGTCATTTGATGTATTGCACTCGTTTTTTTTTAATTACAGGCGCACGGCAAAGAATTTTAATTAGCAGCTAGTGAAGCTTTGTGAAAGCTGCAGAGGTTTGGTGCAAATCCCTCAACCACAGAACTACAGCAGGTCGCCCGTCATGTACGCTCGGCTTCGCTTTTCGCTTCATTTAATTCTAAGATTTGATAATTACATGAAGCTCGATCCGGATTGCACGGAATTTAACTTTTAGATTGAATGTACCGAAACAGGAGCGCAGCGGTCAGAGCAGAGGGCAAATAGTGGAAGGAGTTGTCCTCCCAACAATTAGCAGCTTCTCAATATGACTCGAGGTGTCACCGGCTCCCTCCTGTCCACCAGGGGGCGACTCCTTGGATCCCATAGACGTCAATGGGAAAATACTTGATTTATTCCGTCAGTAAACATTGTAAACATGAGTTTATGGTCTCAGTCTCTAGTTTCAAGTCTTCTTCAACACAGGATGATGCTCATTTAGTAAATTATGGTCCATGTAGAGTCAAACAGACTAAAAAGCAGGGGCTGCATTAGGGCGGGGCCACACGCTGATTGACAGGCTGCTTTAGCTTCCTCCCCATTATAAAATATGGTTACTTACGTCAACTGGTTAGAATAAAACACGGCGGCAGTCAACAGACCAACGGGGGACATCCCACTGACAAACTGCACATGTCATACGCCGCCTCGTTCATGCTGCCCTGCCAACACGAGTACATTTGGCCTGTCCGAGTAAAGGGCCATTCAAAAGGTTTATACCCCTTTAACACGCTTCCACTTCAGTCCGAGCCCAGGTGAAGAAACAGACAAATGAATACAAACAGAATTGCATGAGGAGTAATAAAGGAGCTAATTGCTTGAAGGCCGAGATGTGTCCGGGATCCAAACCTCCACCCCGTGAAGACTTTTAAGCGCCATCCCTCCATCCTCCTGCTGCCCCCCGTTCTGATAAAACACAACCTCCGGCAAAGCGTGACTAAAGCCCCGCATTGGTCCGAGACACGGAGGCCCAGCGAGGGAGGGGCCGGGGGGGGGTAACAGGTGAGAAACAGAACAATGACCCGAGCTGCAAAGTGACAGCGACGAAAAGCACATTGATCCAAGACAGAGGGCATTAGAGAGGGGGGGCGGGGAGGGGGGAAGACGTAGGGAGTCACGATGGACGGATCCAGAAGTGATCCGAGGGCCCCGGCAGCTTCTGAGTGGAATAAGAGAGGCCGACATTTCCACCCGACGCTTTACCTTTATTGACCTTCTGCCCACCGCCGCGGTTCATTAAGCGAGTGCGTTTGTCTGTGTGATTTGTGACAGCCGGTATCGGTTGTACCCTGTTTGGCAGAGGGGTCGCAGGCGTGGGGTCAGAGGTCAACATCGGGGGGGACGTAACAGGTGGAGAGAGAGTTCATCCACGTCCATAAGTTGCTGTGACTCATTTCAATCATCGACGCCGTCAGCAGTTTCACCGCCTGCAGTACACGAGTTCAGCTGCAGGCAACCATGGCGACAGAGGTTCTGAATTAGGAGATCAAGTCTCCCAGCAGAGAAGGGAAGTGGAAATAAAGAGTACAGAGTGAGGCTTGTACTTCTGAGCTAAATGCTAACAGTTAGCAGGATGAATGTATCTAATGTAATCTATCAGAGGAAGCAGAAAGCTAACAGCTACGAGCTAATACGCGGTCACGCAGCTTCACCTGCACACTCTTTCCTCGACTCGCCCTCTTTCATCGCCGCCTGTTCGGCCTTCCGGGGTCGGCCTGCTCATCAGCGAGGAACTGATCCCATTGGCCAATGAGGTGACACCGTGTCACAGACATGAAGCCCTGTAATACCTCGCTGCAGCCACCCGAGGGTCCTCTGAAGCGTGTGGTGGTGTCCGTGGATCCATGCAGATGAGATCCAGCTGCACACACACAGACACACTGCAGCAGCTCAGTAGCATGATACTTAACGTGGTCAGGACAGGAGGTGCTTACATAATTCATTAGGAGCAGCAAGTCACACAGACGAGTAATCCTATTTAATCTGATGTTGTTAATTCATTTGTCCTACATCGCCCTCCATTCTCACCTCACTGTCTCCTGAAACAGAGACCAGGTGTGTGTGTGGAGGGGGGGGGGCAGGTGAGGGAAGACGGGAGGGACGAACGGGGAGATGAGGACAGAGTTTGCGGGGAAAGGGGGTCATTATAGGAGGGATATTCAAGTGGAGAGCAGGGTCTCGAGGGCAAACCCACTCAAACTTTGAAGTAATGCCCTAACTGCCCCCAGAGTTAAATATGAATGGCCTTGCATAATTGAAATGGCAGACTTCCAGTTACAATGCACCTTTTAATGAAGCCAATTTGGAGAGCTGGAAGGAAGCGGCTTCCACTGTATTCTCATGGAAAGTCATTGGAATTGCGGGATCTAAATTGAGGTTTACGCTTGTTAGTTATTGACACTGTGACAACGTGAATACGGCCTTTTGCTCCCTCACCTCAGGGAGACACAATCCACCAGGAGAGAGACACAAAACACAACCGAAGCCAGATGCACCACGGAGACGTGCCAAGCGGACGGGGTCCTGATGAATGGACGGAGGCCTGAGACCTGGGGGGGGGGGGGGGCTGTTATTGGTGTAGAATAAAACCCACGGTCATTA